AAAATTAAGCACTTTTTAATGCTACTTTAGACTCAGATTTTAATTAGAGAAATACATGTTATGCTATTATTGTCAATGATGTCATACTTATAAATGTAGTGGACTATAGAAAGGGAATGAATGAATGAATGAGTGTGTATGTGTGTGTATATTTTAGGCAGATGTGCCTAAAACTTTTGCACAGCACTGTATATACATATGGAAAGAGAGAGAGAAAGAAAGAGAGAGACAGAGAGGTTCCTAACAGCTAATAAAGGGGTTGTATCATAGAAAAAAATGTTACTGAATTCAATGGGACTATCCCATGAAATTATATACAGAACTACATCCTTATGCATGATGATATATTATTATTGAAAATAACAAAATTGCTATTAAGTTTAAATGAATATGCAGATTTTTTGTTATTCCTTAAGAATATTTTTTTAAACATATTTATTCTGTTCCTACATGATAGTACTGTACATGCCCATACCAATTCTGAACACGGTGTTGATTTCATGATGAAAGCCACTGAAGCAAGTGGAACTTGATCTGTGTATGTGAAATGGACCTATGATATTTACTATGAGTATCTGAAGGTTAAAGTAGTCATCTGATTATTTTTCAAATAACATTGAGGAGCACATTCCTCCCTCTACTTAAAAAAGTACATTATATTTTTGATAAGAATAAAGAACCAAGCAAACCTATTCTTGTCTTCCATAGTATGTGCCCAACCAGTTCGATCTAGCAGGGTTGGCATGCCCTCGGTTCCATCGATTAAGCAATGCCACCCACTGTGACCACAGAAGCACACTTTCTCTGTAGCAGTCCCTGCCCTCTGGAATGAGGTTCCCTCTGAAATTCAAACAGCTCCCACCCTACTGAGATTTTGCAGAGGATGACTGATGCCCTTTTCTTCCTTTCTGTTCTACTCTGGATTTGTTTTCTTTGCCATCATTGTTCTTTTGTCTTGTGCTGTTCTTGTCTTGTTCTTTGTTTTTAAATGTTTTAACATTTGTAAACCACCCAGAGTTGCTGGGAGTTGAGTGGCATACACATTTTATATATAGTGGTTGGTCACACAGTCAGCCAGATGTTTAGACTGGATTTGGCATTTTTGTCCACCTATCAAGTCCCTCCCAAGGACCTGAGATAGGCACATGTTGTTATTTAATAATACTAAAGGCATCGTCACAGGATGTAAGCTGTTCCAAGTAAGCTGCTTTTTGCAATTGACTGATGATGATTTTTCAATATATCAATATATAATAATAAATTATTATTATTATAGAACAGAGTTCAAAACAGAGAATCTAAAATCATAACAAAGTTGATTGTCATGCAGAGGTTGATCTGACTGCTGAACAAAAATTGTCTGAGTTTCAAAAAGCTCTTGTTAAGAATTTGTTCCCTTGATATTATGATAGCTAACCTGAAGTTAACTAAAAGAGACAAATAGACTCATCTTTGGAGCATTCTTCTTGCAGGGTGAAAGTTCCTCTGCAGAGCCAAAGAATAAGAATAATGGAGGAAAAACACTGAGGAAAAGGAAATGGTCCCTTAAAAAAGGGTAGGTTGGGGAGGCTGAGCAAGGGTGAGGTGCAGGTCAGGGAGGGTGCACGAAGGGGTGCACGAGAGGCACAGTGTGAGTTGGGGAGGGTGTATAACGGTGCAAGAGGGTGTGAGGGGATACAAGAGGCGTGGTGTGGGATAGGCTGTGTGGGGGTACACGAGAGGCATGGCACGGGTTGGGGTGTGCAGGTATGCAAGTGGGTTTGCAAGAGATGCAGGCAGCATGGGTTGGGAAGGGTGCACGAGTGGCTGGCACGGCATGAGTGCAGAGGGCCTGGGAGAGGGTGTGCGAGAGGGTGTGCGGGTGCAGGAGACTTACCCCAGTGACTTGTGTCCTTCCCTGCCAGCTTCCCCATTGACTTTCTGGGGAAGCTGGCAGAGAAGCTTGCAAATGGCAGTTACGTGACCACACAGCACTGCAACCAGTCATAAGTGCAAACTGCTTGCCAAGCACCCAAATCATGATCATGTGACCATGGAGGTACTGGGACAGCCAGAACTCCAAGGACTGGTCATAGCCACCATTCATTCAGCGCCACCGTAATTTTGAATGGTCACTGAATGAATGGTTGTTGGTTGAGGACTACCTGTAGTTGCAAAAGAATAAATAAATAAAGCAGGCATAAGATAATCTGAGTAGAATGGAGAGAGGCAATGAGACGTAGTCATCTTTGGACACAAACTGTAAGAGATATAGAAAAATATTCTGAGAGAGAATCACTATACATCAGAGGTATTTCTGAAAAAATATGAATGATACAAAGTATACTGTTCTGAATAATGGGATGATTCAATTTGCATAAAACTATAAAACGTCTAAAGCAAACATTAAAATCTTACTTGGCTTTTTCCTAATGTATTTGTAGTATGTTCCTTCTTTTCTTGTTCTATCTTGCTATCTTCTGGTGAGACTTCTAGGTTTTCTTCACATTGTTCTTTCAGTTCCTTCAACTTACGGACACACTGAGACCTTGAAGCAAAGAACAGAATATGGAACAAAGAACCATAACCTATAATCCACAAACCGTGTTGTTATGGTTACTGTTTGACAAGAAGTAGGAGACTCATTTCAAAGTACTATCCAGCCATAAAGCTTACTGAGTGACTTTTGGCCGGTCACTGTCTTCTCAGACACTCAGTGTTATCTACTTTAGTGTTGCCGTGACAATAACTTTGGCAGTGGGAGAGGGAGAGAGAGGGAGGGAAATGTGCATGCTACCTTGAACGCATTAAAGGAAAGGTAAGCATCATGAAGACATAATCTGAATATAGTCTGCCAACCATATATTGTAGCTTAAAGGTTGTTTGACAACTTTCCTATTCTTGCAGCCTTGGCAAGATCAGAAACTAAAGATTTACAGAGCCCTTGCTTGGCTAATGTAGATAGCTGAGGAACTACAACAGATTAAACCTACTTTACCTGAGAAGAGGAAGACCTTTTTCATTCCCTTTTTGACTTCTCTCTTCCTTCTTTTGATCTCAACTTTCAAATGGCATGTATATAGGTAAGATCAACCAAATATAACTTCCATTTTAACTGCAAGTCATGTACATTTCTTGCTAGTTTGATACATAACTACGTAAAGTATATTAGTCCAAATACCAGAATTCATGAATCAGTTAAGTAACACATTTAGATTTAGCAATCCATAGTCCAAGTATAACTTCATTCTGAAACTCCACAGACTTCAATAGGACTTGCTTCCAAAAATGTATAGGATTTAAAAATCTAAGCTACCAATTTCAGTATAGAAAAATTATTCATATTCAAACTTAATAAAAACTTGATTTATACTCATTTTGCATATAAAAACAACTGACTAATGCAAACTTACATGTCAAGTGACATTTTTCTCTGGAGGTTAGTCTGATTAGTCTGAAATCTGTAGACATCTAACTGAAGCTTTTCATATTCCCTCTGTAATTTTTTCAAATGCCCTGCAGCAACAGTGTTTTTTGTTTTTTTTAAAAAGAGAAAAAAACATTAAAAAGTATGAAAGAGCAAAGTTTTTTTTCCACTAGTAAGAGAGTGGTCCATAATAATTAGGCTAAAACCTATTTCGTTCAGTCTGCATGACCGATGCTGAATAATCCTGTTTAATTAATAGAAAAGTCCATTTGATTCAATACAGCTTCTTTCTATATGTTTCAGATTGCAGTCTTAGAACTATAATTGCATGGTTCTCTTCCAACTCTTTCCTGCATTTGATTTTATCTCCCTCCCTCCTCCTTTTTCTCTCTTTTTATGCAAGAAATATGGATACTGGAACAGTATTCTTCATATGCATGTTAAAAAAATATGAACAACATTCTCCAGCATTACTCAGAACCCTTTAAATATGTAATATTGGCTGCTTCTACCCTGAAAACCAGTAACAGATTCAGTATTTCCAATTACTGCCGATTTTTTTTAATGATTTAAGCTTCTAATATTGTAACAATTTATGATTTAAATCCTTGAATCAGTGTTGTTTGGTATGTTAGTATTTTATCTTTCTGGACACAAATATTTATCTGTACACTTCTCCATATGCTTCTGCAGCAAGCCATGATGATAACACACATGTAAATGACACTAATTATACAATTTGCATGAACTGCATTATGTTATGCAATTTGTGTTATTTGCATGAGGTCACAATGCATGAGACATTACTTGCTTCCTTGTACCTCCTGCAGATATCCATTTGGGACCATATCAACATATCACAATTTTTTTTTTTATTTTAAGGAATAAACAAGGAGATGGATGATCCTTCAAGAGTGGCCTTGAAACTTTTTCTTCAAGTGCTGTTTGCAAGTTCCTTATTTCAGCCAATTATATATGAGGCTTACATTCTGAACCTATATCATCTAGTGTCCTTTTTTATTGTTTTGGAATGGAAAAGGTTGTATCAGTAAATATAGAATAAAAGTTGCAATGATGATACTTTATTGAGATTTACCTTGAAGAGTCTGGATCAGATGATCATTTATTGTGATGTTATTTAATAACATTTCCTATGATAAGAAAAAGGGGATGTTAAGTGATTGAAAAATATCAGTTGGATCCAGCCTTAATCATATTTAGAGCACATAAGTCAGTGTGACAAGTCACATAGCTAATTTAATAAAACTAGTATTTTCAAGTAGTTTCCCTTAAGTGTAACTAAGTCTGGATTTAAACACAAGCCTTAACATTTACTTTCCATGTTCTCCTATTATTATATAAATGTTACTAATCCTTGGAAAGTGATATTTGTTTCTTATATCTGCAACCGAAACAGATAAAAAGAATAAAGAATATAGTCTGGATATGTATTTCAGCAGTCTGCACTGGAATACAGTATTACCAAAACCAAGAAAATCAAAATTGTATTTGCTCATCATTTGATCCTCAACCCACTTAAGGATCACCTCAAGTAATAAGCAATTACAATTAATTCCACCAATATTTTCCTTCCAAACTAACCTAATTCAATGTTCTTTTTAATTACATTATTCCTCTACACATTATCTCTATATACATTTTCCCAGACTTTTATTGCAATCCCAAAACATGACACCTTTTCTAAACTATATCAATTTAATTGCCTCAACATAATTACACCTGGACAAATTTAATTCAGGCAAGGAAAAAAATCATCAAATACAGAATGTGTTTTGCATTGTCTGCTTTTTATTATGCCCTCAGTTTATTAAACACTTTTGTTCATGTAAAAAAGAAAAGACATACTGTTATTACAGCTAGTGTTTAGTTATCTTATAAAGCAAACCTGTCAGTAGCTGTCTCCAATACTTAGCCCAGTTGGCAGACAGATGGTACAGTGTTGCTTTCTGGAAATGTTCTGGATAAAATCTGTGTAAAATTGTCTAGACAACTAATTTAAGAATGGATAAACTACTTTCAAGTAATAGGCATGTGTTTGTTAAGGGACTTATGTAACAGTTTACATTAATTAATTGTAAGCTGTATTGAATTCCTATGTAAATTCAGAAGAGAACTTCAGATGCAGAAACAGCATCTTCAGAATTATACAATTTTATTTTAAAAAGCAGGTTCAAGTTTACAGTCTACAGGGGGAGAGATTCGTGAAAAATGCACAAGCACTATCTGAAAACGGAAAACTACATAAGCAGTCTAGGCTATGTAAGGAAAAGGCAGATTTCCAGTGGCCATAATTCAAAGTCTTCTGGCTTTTGAAAGGAACTGCTAAGATATGCCTATTTGATATACAGTATTCTGCATTTAAGGTTAGTTTGACTAAAATGATGATAGAAGCAGCAACAACTATTTGTTGATTACAAGGAAATGAGAAGAATGCTGTGCAGATAGAGACTATGGCTAAGGAGGCTCTACACAACTTTGCTGGGACACCAGTGTAGACCTTCCTTGAGCAAGAGGCCTAGGTGACTATAATACATGCTCTACCACAACTATGATGGACCACTGGCACTTTGCATGGGGCATTTTGCACAAGGTTGCCCTTGAAAACTACCTGGAAGCCGCAACTGATGCAAAATACAGCAGCTCCTAACCATTCAACACCAGTTTTGTGTCACTGCATTGGTTGCTGATAGGCTTCCATGTACAATTCAAGGTGCTGGTTATTACCTATAAAATCCTTCACCGCTTGGTGCCAAAATTCATTCAGGATCATTTCCTTCAGATAGAACCAACTTCCCAGGCAGTGCATCCAGAGTTTGATGCTGTGGATTTCCCTATGTGAATTAATGCTCTTTGGTAATGGCTCCATCCCTTTGCAATTCCTTTCATTATGTATTGGTTTTATTGTTTTAATGTAAATTCTATGGACCATTGGGAGTCTTACTAGAATGGAAATCATTATAAGAATGTAAAATAAATAAGTAAATATTCTAGAGTAAAATAAGGATTAAAAACAATAACAGATAACATGTAAATTGGGAATTGCAAGCGTTAAAATAAAATTAACTATAGATGCTTGTCACACTTTACCCATTTTACTGAAAACAATATTTGGGGTTCCTATCAATATATTTGATCCTGATTTTCAGCAAACAGTTCAGGATGCATCATGAATTATTTAATTTTTATTAATACAAATTTCACATATGACTTTTCTCTTGTTGCCATGAGTCTAAGTATTTCAAGATTTCTTCAAATAAAAAAACCATTCTGTTTCCACCACCCAAAATAAAGGTTGGAATACTCTATCTATTTTCATTCTTAGGTCATGGGATTTTTACTTAAATATTTATAAACCGCTTTTGTGTAAAGCCAAATCAGCTCACAATGGATAAGTAATATATAAATACAATAGCACTAGCGCCCTTACAGGTTCATGCTGTAGAAAATAAAAAATACCAACTTCTGCTGATTCCTAATGCAGGGTTGAGGCTTTTTAAAAAATAATAATAATAATAACTGTGGTCAGTTAAGAACCTTATATGAACGCTGGTCAAAACTATTTGCCCCCTTCTTTCTTTCCTTGACAGTGCCCTCGCAGTCAGCAGAATATCAGGAAAAAAACAAACCTTGCTTTGAAAATGACTCTTGCAATGGCTTCCTTTCTCTTTATCAGTTTTAACTGTTCCCCAGGTTCAGTGTGCCACAGGAGACTAGGTGACTACTGGTAGCCCTTGGGTTACGACCATTCAAACTTGAGACAGTGCTGAATGAGAGGGACTTATGACAGGTCCTCAGAGTTCCAGCTGTTGCAGCATCCCCGCAGTCATGTAATTGCAATTTGGGTGCCTGGCGCCCGGCTCACAATTACTAGAGTGAGCTGCAGACGTCTGATTGCAATTTCTGACATTCCCTACCAGCTTCTCACAAGTCAATGGGGAAGCTGGCAGGAAGTCGGAAGTCCCAATCATGTGATTCCCACCCCATTTTTACAGCTTCTTTGGAAGAATTATCCTAAGAAACTGCATGTTAATTCTCATTAACAAGGCCCTTTCCTTTATGCAAGAACAGACAATGCTAATAAAACATTTATATAAAGGCCCAAAAGTTAGAAGAAACAAGCTTCTACCTTTTCATCTCTGTGTATTTTGTTCATATTTTCCACCTGGAAATCATGCAGGGATTGGATTTTATCAATCTGTTCCCTCTGTTTCTTTAGCTCTCCTTGGAATTCATTCTTTTTCATTTCTACAGCGCCTCTTTCTGCAGCTGCCCTACGCACTCTGCCTTCTAGTTCCATTATGCGATTCTAAAAGGAAAAGAATATTTGAAAAAAAGTTTCCCTCTTATGTACATATGTATGTATCTTTATTATAGTCACTGACCAGAATAAGTCTCCCCAGTATATATGCATAATTAGAATTTGTTTTTCCATTCTATATCTTCCAAACGTAAACTGGATTTATTTCTCTATATGCACACACATAATGATTATTATGTAATGCTTATGAGTCCTCTAACTCACTAGCTGAATGGATATCACAGAATTTGAAAACATCGACAGGGGAAGGATGGTGAGAAAAATATTCCTTGAATTTTGATCCGCAGGATAGTAGCTATGAAGAAATAAGTAGCTTAGCTCAGAGGACAGAACTTACCTGCTGCTAGCAGAAACAGATGGACAGAAGGTAAGGGGCCAATCTGGAGAAGTCTTTTTTTTTTCTTGTTGCGTTAATAGACTTGCTGCATTTTCTATAGAGATATCCAATCTAGTACAGGAGTATCTTCAAAGCTGTAGAACCAGTTCTGCAATATTTTCCCCACTTTCACCTTTGATCTGGGGCAAGGTGAATATTTTTGTGGGAAAAAACATGCAGTTGGCCTCTATTTCCTCTTGTTTGATAAGTGTCATTAGTAAGCCTTTTGATGGAAGCATGGCTAATTTTCTATGTACATATACACACCTCTATAGCTAATAATAATTGCACAACTTTATTTTAAAACAAGTATACATTTACCAGACCTTAAATATACTCAAAATGCTACATGCGTCATGTACTCTGGCTATAATCCCATGACTATTTCCTGCAATTCAAATGCTATTCATGTCTGTCTGTATGTTTATAGTAAGCACTGGGAATACAGAGTGGAATACTGCTCTGTTAATATTAAATGTGATCCAGTGCAACAACCATCTGTGAAAAAGATAGTGGAATAATGATGCTTCAGAAGTATAAAGAACTCCAGGAGGGACTCTACCATGGACCACAGATGGATCCGGGTGCTGTTAGTAAGAGGCAAAATAGGACAAGAGCTGGAGTAGCAGAGACCATGAGACAGCACAACCAAGAAGCTCATGATTAATTCCACATACTGACTTAAAATAAGAAGGCTTCTGGCCTGTTTGCATATGCACATCACATATACACGTAAAAACGTGGAGGAAGAGAAAACTGGAAATGGTATTTTCATTTGTATAAAATTAGTTAAGTCACATCACACAGCTTTTCAGGCAGCAGCCACTATCGTGTCATATTATAGGCACCAAATGTATTTGAAATATGTACTGTAAATGATGAGAATCTCATGAGACATTATGTGTCAACACGGAGATATTTTAAGATTTGACTATCTCAAGAGGTTTGGAATATTTTTAATTAAAAAAAAAGATGGAGGTCAATGAATGCTGTCTAGTGGCATCTTTGATCCCACAATGCCCAACCATTACACTGCTAAGCCCTGGTATAAAGCTACAGAATTTTCTGGTTGAACGGGATACAATGTTTTTCCAGGCACTTTCCTTCTTCCTTGTTTGCTTTTATGGCCAACTTCCAAACAACTGTCAGATACAATTGTCCAGAAAATCTAAAGTGCATTGTAATCTCAAGATAATAACATTTTAAAACACTGACGTATATACACTGATTCAATCAATTTGAAAACCAATAAAAGAGCAATACCTGCAAATCAACGCTACGGGAACTTGTTATCCAGTAATTAAATCCCAGAACAATTATACAAGCCACAAGTGCTGCTACTAGAAGAGGTGGTGACTTTATCCCACGACGGCTGTTTCCTAGTCCAACCATCTTAAAGTTACAGATTTCTGTTGGTTTAAAGAAAAAAATGTTTATATTTACCTTTGTTGTATTAATGAAAATTTCCAAGCAATACAAAAACTTGCCAGTAACAGTGCCTGCTTAGAAGTAGCTTGTAGCTTGATGAGCTAGAAGATACATGTATATATATCTATATATCTCCCTAGATAAAAACACAGAAACATATAAAAGCATAATAGTCAAGCATTCAATGTTTTATGACACATTTTAACTGCGGCAACATAGAATTTAAGCATAGTACTGTAATGCAAGGACTAGAGTCAGAAAGTAGGAGTTTTCTGTAATAAAGATTTGTTTGTCCAGGATACCATCACAGAAAAAGTGAAATAAAAGAATTCCATTTGTCCCTGTATAAACTGCAACACAGCAGTACGTGGAGAATGGTTTCAATCTCTCCAAACCACAACAGGGAAATTTATTTGGATAAGAGGATTTTGGAGTGTCTACCCAGTAGAAGGGCTGATGATAACACATTATACTGTACCCAAAGTCCTTTCTCAACCTAGGAAATGTGAGAAATGTTAAATATTTGGCTGGCTCTCAAAGTCCCCTTAAAATCTGGACTTTGTTATGTGGTGTCCTATTGTCCTCCAGTTGGTACTCCATATCCTTTGAGTAAGTACATGTCTGGCCTCTTAATAACCCAGGCTAAGAAGGAACCAAGCTAAGAGGCTGTAAGGTGCTAGTTTGAATGCTATAGCACTCCTCCAACTTGGAGAATCCTCCTCTGATAATACAAGGCAAATAGGCCAGTGAGGAAGAACCAGATCTGTAGCCAATAACTGATCACAGGCATTCCCACCACAAGTCACAGAGCAGTGTTGGATCACATTTTGGGGCAGCAAGTACATCTCTCAAAAATTTCATTTGCACCACTTCCATAGTATTCTTCATGGCATAAATTCCTACCTGTACTCTGTATAGGATTTGTGATAATGTTTGGGCTTTAAAAAGTTTAAGAAAATATCTCCACTGATGGGATGCAAGGAGTGCCTAATGGTGGCTACCTAAGAGGCATAACCATGTTCTGCTTTCCACAAATCTTGGCATCAAAAACTGAAGCATTTAAAAACATGAATGTATTCAACCTTATACCTCTTTATAATATAGATTTTCAGTTAGGTTTTTTTCTCAGAAGCCATGATTCTGATAAATATCTAACTCCGTATTAGATATGGCCCAAGTGTCATGCAAGAAAAGAATATCACAGTTGGACAGATACTTGAAAAACTGGTGATTTTTAAAACAGGAAAACCATCCTGCTATATTCTATGAAGTGGATGGGAGTCTGAATTATTTATTTATTTAAAAATCAATTAGCAGTTTCTTCAATGGGATTAAAAGATTCCTTTGAAGTTGATAAGATCCCTCTTGTGAGAAAGGATTATATGTTTTGTAACTCTTTGGTCAAAGGGGCAAGATGCTTAGCTATACTGAGACTTGCAAGAGTTTGTGCTCAGGATGGTTGAGGAGAGTTTATCGCTCCAAGATGAGATCCGGTATTCAAATTGAATTATCTCCCGCTCATGAACCTCCCTCTTTTCTCTTCCAAAGAGAAATGTTGTCAAGAATGACAATATCATATTATAAGTTAGGAATTAACCAAGCTATCAATGTGTATGCTGAGGGTACATTAGCTCTATAAAGGCGTGTGAGAGAGAGCTCTTTATCCTTATCATCCTCTTTGAAATGTAAAGCACACAGCACTTAAAAGGTTCTGCCAGCGAATCCTTGAAATAAACCCTTGAGGTAGACCACAGTCTCTCTTTCTATCCACCCCTTCCCTGTTGTCTTAAAATGTGGGCTATATGGCCCTTTGCAGCCTTCCTAATTATTTCATAGGTGTGAGGTTGTATGCTTGAGTATTTCAGGCACTGCAATTCAGAGAGACTTATCTACAAAGTCAGATGCTCTCTGGTGGGAGGTATACTTCTCCTTATTTGCTCTGCCTTGAAGGAGCATCTGTACACTTTAAAAATTCTTATAGAATTAATGCAGAAATTGGCCCCAGAAACCCTTCATATGCAGCAGCACTGTTGGAATAAGTTATTGTCTGAAGGTAAGGAGATTCCTCTTCTGAAATGGGCAGCTATGTACTCAGATGATTGTTCTCAGATCAATAGCCTGCTGAATACATCTTAACAGGCTACCTAGGGACTTAATGATTCAACTTCAGTCCAACCAGCAATCTTAATTGATGGGGTTAAGTTCAATTTGCAGAGACTTGATTAGGTTGGAGGACACCAGCATGCAAAAGAGGGGATGCCCCTTACTGGCTGTCCTATCTGTTCTTCAAGGTGAGAAATTATACTTCCCTAGCTCCTCTTGTTCATCAATCTGATTTCTTTTCTCCCCTTGACCAAGAGTGTCCCTTATGTTACAGTTATTAATGTTGTCAAACATTATCCCAAGCAAACACTTCCATAACTTCCTATTCTTCTAATTTTTTTTTTCTGGTATTGGAATTAATGCCATTTGAAACTAATAGTTTATCTTGGGTGATAGGGTAATATCTTAATAATTGCAATTGATCCTAACTAAGAAAGCTTTAAATTTTTCCATCTTTCAAGATTTCTTTCCATAGTTTGACATAATTATTTTGACATATTTCTTGATAATTGCCTGTTAAATACAAGCCCAGATATTTCACCAAATCTGTTTGTTATTTGGCACCTAGACTCCTCCTAGATCTAAATCTTCTTCTTCTTCAGTTAAATGTCTTATAATTATTTTTGTATTTTGAACACTGATTTTATATCCAGAGAATTCTCCAAAGCCTTGGATTATTTTCATCAACCGTTTTATTGCACTTTGTGGTTCTGTGATAGTTAGTACTATATCAACTGTATAACACTTAAACTTATACTCCTCTCCATGAATTTTGAGGCCAGAGATTTGTCACTTGAACCTTTTATGCCAATATTTCTATGATGATGATAAATAATAGAAAAGAGAGTGGGCATCCTTGCCTAGGGCCTTTGCTTATTTGGAAATCTACAGAAAGTGTTCCATTGGCCATTATCTTTGCCTTTTACCACTGATGTATTCTTTTAATCCAGGTTTGGAACTCTTCTCCAAGATTTCTTTTGTTCAATACTGCAAGTAAAAATGGCCACTGCAGATTATCAAAGGCTTTTTCTGCATATAAGAAGATTAGCACTGCCTTTTTTTTTCTTTTTTCTTTTTTCTTTGCTTAATACAGTCTACTGTAATGACTATAAACCTGTTGTTGTCCTTATGATTATTTATTATTTATTAAACCAATTTATATAGCCACCCATCTCACCACAGGTGACTCTGGGAGGTATACAACAAAGCTATAAACAATCAATACATACATTAAAAATATAAAAAGCAAAATAAAACAGAGAATAAAGGATGTTAAAAATAAGGGAGCCACCTCACTAATCCCCCTGTTCCCTGGGGTCCCCAGGCCTGATTGCATAATCAAGTCTTAAGGGACCTCTAGAAGCTCAACAATGATGAAGCCAACCTCACCTCTTTGGAATATCTATTTCATCCATTTTCTGTTCTATAAGAGTCTTTGTAGATATTATGGTGTGAGCTGCAAGCAACCACTGCCAAAGTATATGGTCCATATCTGATGCTGAGCCCTGTTTATCATTGCATATAGTCCAGGACCTAGTTCCAGGATGATTTCTCCAGCCTGTTGATTTTAAGCAGCTAAAACTTTAACAACTGCCATTATAATTGCATAACAGCCTATGCACTTGTAAGTAAAATATTCTATATATGCAGCCCATATTTGCCTTTTTCTTTCTGCTAATCTACCAATATTGTTGGTAGATTGTGTTGCCTTTTGCCTCCTTTCCCCTGCTGGGATGCACCCCCTCCTTCCTGATAGCCTTGATTTCTCACATCACCCTCCTCTTCATAGATACATTCTATCACATTTCTCCTTCCAATATAGCATGATAATTCTTTCAGCTAGCCTCTATAACTGGCTAGGGTTAGGTAGGTGGGTACAGAAATGAAACATGGGTCATGACAGCACAATGCAAATCCCATGATTTATATATCTGAATCTGATGTCAGAATGCAAGTATGGAAGGACAGGATTTGCACTGTGACATCATTGCAAATATGTCATCACTTTTTTTTTTTCACAGGAACACCTATGGTTCTTGACATCTTCTTACTGGGGACACAACCAAGAAGAACATATGCATCTTAACATAAATATTTACAGAGCTGTATAAACAATTATATTCATATTAATCCCAAATGTAACCACAACAGGACAAGACCAAAACATATAATACAGTATTCCAACTTCTGAGTTGCATCTCCAACAGCCCAGCATTTGTCACCAACTTTTATAAACAATTCTCCAAAGTATCCAGTATAAATGAAGTAACCATTTTTGTTGTACTAACCTCATTTTAAGACAATGGGTAACTCATTTCATATTTTTTAAGTGGCATTCTTTTAGTTTACCAGGCAGAACATTCAATCTCCTTATTCTGGAAGCAAGATAAATATTATCAGTTTAATCAATCCTGGAAAAAAGGATCATGGCTTAGGAGCCACAGTTAGTTCTCTCATTGCCTCTGCCTGATCACTCTTATTTTCTTTCTTTTTCTTTTTTCTTTTTCTTTTTTGCAAATTGGGATTACTCTTGCTACCTCTGCAATCCTTGGGAATAAAAGTGACACAAATAAGAGGCACCCACCAAACTAGGTTTGTTTTAATTAAACACTTGTTTTCCTCACCACTAGGGTCTTTATTATTTAACCATTTCAAATAGAAGAACTAGCAGCCTGCTGGTCAATTTATTAATATCTGAGTCACCTGTATTCAGTACCTGTCATGATCTGCAGAATGCTCTGAAGTTGCTGCTCCCATGCTTGCACAGGAATCTAACTGACTGGTTCTCTGGAGTTTACTGAAACCATTGCCAATTATTTATCAGAAAAAGGAAGAATCCTTCTCTTTAACTGATTGATCTGACAACTCCAAAGATTCCTTATTGGCCTTATTCTTCTCCTCCAGAAGAGACTAGTGTTGTTTTTAAGTTTCAACAACTCTTGTCATAAGGCCTTGAAGGGATTTTGTAAGCTATAAGGATACTTTCTTGATTGAACCATTCCTGTTCTTCACTGCCCAAATTAAAATTACATTTCCTCTTTACTCTGACAACAGACTTCCATTTGCCAATAAATACATTATATAACTCTACATGCCCATTATGAAGTGGCTATGTGTAAATTTGTGTAATGTATAAATTTGTGATAGATGTACATTTCTAGTCTGAGTGGGGAATTTAACCAATCAGCTGAAGCATAGCACTCCTTTTGTTCTACTTAATTTGAACAGCAGTCTTTTCATCTTCTAAAACTGGGGGGGGGGGTATCTTTCCTCTATTCTCTACAGCTCATTAGAGGATAACCTCAGGACTAAAGGGAAATTGCTGCTTTCTAATCAGGGCTCCACCTCCACAGTCACTGGTGAAGCCGACAAATTGCAGGTACAACCCAACAGTCAACTATTAACCTTCCCTCTCCTCCCAAAATGTGTATTCAGCTGGTGGATTACCCATTACAGTGCCACTAAGACTACATGGGTGGATCCAAACAGATCCATCTGTTTCACCCAAAATCCTGCCAAATTGTTGCTTTCAACTTTCCTTAGAAGGGTCTTCAAGTTCTTCCTCTTAAAAGCATTTAAACTATTTATAAGGGGTTTGGTCATATGCACGCAATCTAGCATTTAAATATCCTCCAATTATAGTTGACTGCTGCAGGGTGGGCTTTGTCAACATAATTTCAATGCACCTCTAAGGGTTTTAATGTGGGCAATATCTGAAAAGAGGATACTGTGTGTGTGCGTGCGTGCATTTGGTTGTTTGCTTGCAGACATTTCATTACCAACTAGGTAACATCATCAGTGCAAGTGAGTGTGGGTTTTGCTCCTTGTTTATATACAGTATACATTATATACTCTGTGTGTGGAGTATATAATGTATACTGTATATAAACAGGGAGCAAAACCCACATTCACTTGCACTGATGTTACCTAGTTGGAAACATCTGCAAGCAAACAGCCAAGCTCAGAGCGCGCCAAGGACTTCACAATTCAACCCTGAGCTACATATATTCTCTTCTGTTGGGTACACAGTATGCTTTCATATTCCCTTATCAATTTGAACACAAAAAAATATACAAGACAAGACAAAACTTGTATATTTTCTTTTGTTATCTTGTCAAGAATTAAACTAGGGAATCTGTACACAACATAATTTTAAAGTATCTTAAAAAGTATCTTAACCTAGTATATATCTTCTGTGATATGCTTACCAAAGAATATACCTCCTTGTATGTGCAGGGGAGAGGAACTTAAAAGTGTTTTGGTTTTTTTGGTTTACATATATTATGTGTATAACCTAAAAAGAGAAATAGTGAAACTATGCATGTAATCTATACTCAGTATAATATAACCAACCTAATGTGTAACCCCCAGAATGCCTAATATTGATATTTATTTTTTGAAAAAATGATTTCACATCAATTTGCAGAACTTTAAAAAAAATGTATTTTCAGAAATTAATATTTCTAAGATATTAAAATTAAAATTTTAGAAAATTAGAAATAAGATAGCTATGGTCTGCAACTTATAAGATGACAAAAGTATTGATACATTATTGGAAAGATATTTATTTTATAAAGTAGCTCATTTATACAAAACACTGCCAAATACTTTAAAAATCATTTCAAATTTTCATTTTTCAGCATTTTTCAAATTCATGTTAGCTTGGCACTTTTCAAATTTTGTCATTTCATCACAGAAACATTTCCAAGCAATTATTGGACTTCAGTCCAGATGTATTTGAATGTTTAGGAGTAACTGAATGTTTAAGAGTAATGTTTTGGTACCAATTAAAAAAATTAAATATAGCCTTCTTCACAAGATTAAAATGGAATTTATGGGAGTATCTTTCATTATTATTAGTTGATAAAATACCTGCATTTACTTCCTAAAATTCTATTTCTAATCCCAGTTCCATTTCTATTACTTTTTTTTTTCTTATATGGCAAAGAATTTTCTTTTTGTAGATACACAGGTAGATAGGTAGGTAGGTAGGTAGGTATAGCCAAAGTATACAACACAAGCAAAAGCATAACAAATTAGAAGTATTATTTTGATTTCTTTCAATGAGAACAATTAATTAATGCAATATCATTCAGAATTCAAATACTGTTGATTATAAATTGAGTTAGTACTATATTCCCTTCTGATTAGAATGGTATATCATTTCTCACTGATGGTAAGAAATTAGTATTTGCTATCTTAATCCATACCTAAAATGTACTTTAGAAGTTCAGAAAAGATACACACAATTCTTAGCACCTGATCTTTCTCGTCTTCCAATCCTCAATCATAATCTTTTTAAGAGCAAGAATTTAAAGAAATGTTCAATAGAACATAGAGCATAGAATTTTATAGAATTATAGAATTATTGATGAAGACCCATTACTGCTGAATATATGT